TTTATTGTGGAGAATGAACGAGTTCACACCGTTTATGTGCTTAGAAGAATGCCTTGCACAGAGGATGCCCTAAATATATCAGAGCTGTTATTATGATTAGTTCTATTATTTCTTCTACTTACTTAGATTTAAGGCAATAATTGATAGCAACCATTGATTTCACTGGAAGTCTTCACAACATATAAAGCTGATGACATAGGTTGAATTTGATACTCGGAAAATGAATTAAAATTCTTCATGTAATTATCAGGCTCGTTCACAACTTGGCTCAAATTAAAATCTCTAGTGCATGGGTCCTGCTGAGCCATGTTTAATGTCATACTGAAGTCGACCAAGAAAAATCCCACATACTTAAGCATAGTTGGAAGGAACACTAATTTAAGATAGATGACTAAGTGTAATAACTTGGTCCCAAATCCTGAGAGCTATGGGTAAACGAGGACCAGGTAGGAGACAGTTTCTATGCACAGGTGTGCAGAGGAGGAGGAGGGGTGGGTGTTAAAGAAAAAGAAGCCCGAGTGGGTTGGCAGCTGACATACAGATGCAGTGAAGCTAGTGAGATGTTAAATGCTCCTGCCTAAGAGTTTTAAACTCCGCCTGCTCCCCAGCTCATGTCTACCCTCTGCCCCCATCAAAGAGTGTCTTCCAAGAGGAAAACGGGAAAGACTGCTAAGAGAATAGGCATGAGATTTATTTTATTCAGCCACTTTGAGTTGATTTATATTTGAGACCCAAATCGCTAGGAATGAAATAAAAGATGCGGACTCTGTCAACTTAACTGTCAATCTAAAAAATATGAGAGTCATCTCCAAATGCTTAATTCTTACAGGGGCTAGAGAGTGTTTTATTATTTTGCAGGACAGAAGGGCAGCAATGGGATCTGTTTTTGTTTTTATTTTTCCAATAATATCTTTATAAGAAAGGTAGAGATAGGTAATATCTATCTGTAGGTTGCTATGATGGATGAAAAAATATATAAGAAGTTATTAGCACAGTGCCTAGCACATAAACAGCAGCCTTTTGGAAAATATTTCTTCCACCTAACTTGTCCCAATTCCTTGACCCCAAGGGAGTTTAACCTGCTGTTAAATTTACAAGCAAAAGAAGAATGCAGATTTCCACAAAATAAGTCCATATGGGAAGTCCTGCATGGCTGGAAGTCACTGATGTCTTAAACGTTTCCCACTATTTCATTCAAGCCTGCTGCCTTCTCTCTCACCAACCCAGGGCTGCTCGCTCTTTCCCAGCAAGAGTTTCATACGTTGGTGGTGAGTACCCCTCCTCACCTGTCTTCTCTTTAGAAGGATGTGCTCAGCACTTTTTCATGGTTTTACTACCTGTGAACTTATGGTAGATGATAAAATAATTTATTTGTAATCCCTTACACTTACTCCACACTTAAGAAATATGTTAATCCATTTAAGTTTTTTTTTTTTTCCTTTTTGTCTTTTTTACTGACTGGTAACGGGATCGCAACCCTCGGTGTTGTGCCCGCACCGCGCTCAGTCAGTGAGTGGGAACCGGTCTCCACATGGGATCCGAACCCTAGGCGGGAGCGCCACCGCACTCCCAAGCGGCGCACTCTCCAGTGCGCCACCGGGCCGGCCCCCATTTAAGTTTTTAACAGTACAACTTTGTAGGTATATTTGAGCTAAAAGAGAGGAACTTAAAAAATCCACTCTGCTTATTCCACCTCTCATGGCAGGGCTTAGAAGCTGCGAACAAACCAGCTATGTGGTGAGGTCAGAGTGATATCTCTTCCAGACAGATGTGCAGGGTCCAGCTCTACGCCATGGCATCATCGAGAGGTTGTAACTCTCTAATTCTTACTGAGAATGACATTAAATGAATCGCAAGGAGCTAACTGGCCCTTAGGAAAGGAGCTTAACAGGTTGTGAAATAGAAAATCGGGTCCAGGTACTCATGGACAACTCTGGTCTTCTCTATGATATGAAGGGACACTTGCTGCCCTTTGGGAATGCGTGAGCCACGAGAGATCATAAGTGGCTTTGATTCTTCATTTGAATGATAGTGAATAACTGGCAGCTTACCCTTACTCTGAATCTGCATGTTTAAAGTGGGGAAATTTTCACATTTCACACTGATGATCCATTTCAAAAGGAAATAATATCTAAATGACTGTACAGGAAAAGAATGAACATTTAAAAGATTGACCTTCTTTTCTACAAAACAAACAACAACAAACAGTAGAGGCAAAGGAATAATCCTCAAGTGGAGAAACCAACATGTGAATATATGTCTATTTTAGGAAAGGAGTAACACGAAATAAAGACAACTTGCTCCAAAATTCAGAGAAAAATGTCACTAAACCTCAATCACTCAAACTCATTCAAATGGAATTCATGAAACTTAATACCAGCTGATAACAAAGGAAATAAAATTTGGTGGTAAGGAGGTACATTTTCTAAACAAACAAAAAAGTGAGTTGTTTACATGTAATCAATATTGTCATAGAGGGCCGAGCCCATGGCGCACTCAGGAGAGTGCGGCGCTGGGAGCGCAGCAGCACTCCCGCCGCGAGTTCGGATCCTATATAGGGATGGCCGGTGCGCTCACTGGCTGAGCGCAGTGCGGCCGGTCTCAAAAAAGGACAAAAAAAAAAAATATTGTCATAGACCAGTTTTATGCATTTTTTAGGAGATCCAGCTGAAAATTACTAAGCAGAAGACGTTTATTGATTAGCTCTTTGCAAGTACAAAAAAGTACAAAAGATAAACTGAGATATTTCCATAAGTTAGACTAGTTTCTCCTATATTCTCTAAATTAATGAGGCTTTGTACCATTATTGCCTTACTTCATATTTCTGAAGCCAGTTGTTATAATCAATAATTTTTTTTTTTCCTTTCTGTCTCTTTTTTACTGACTGGCAATGGGATCGCAACCTTCGGTGTTGCACCCGCACCGCGCCCAGCCAGTGAGCGGGAACCGGTCTCCACATGGGATCCGAACCCTCGGCGGGAGCGCCGCCGCCCTCCCAAGCAGCACACTCTCCAGTGCGCCACTGGGCCGGCCCATAATCAATAATTTTTATATGTGTGTTTAAAGGTCCATGAGACATGAAACATGCAGATTCAAAATTTATATTTTTCATATCAAAATTGATATTGCAAGCAGCAGGCTTAAAAGAGTCAATGCTGAAACTCAATTCTGGGCTCAAGTCTACTTATCTACAAAATGGAGACAATAACAGTATTTACCTCTTAGCATCATTGTGAGGTTCAAAGTAAATAATCCATTTAAATGGCTTAGCATAGCACTTGGCATTCAATATGTGCTACCATTATTATTATCTTGTTCAAAATATTTTTTCATCTGTAGACAACACTTTCTAATTTCCTGAGCAAATATAAAATAAACACTTTTCCCCTCCAATCTTTGATGGTGTTTCCATCCCAAAAGAATCAGGGAATTTTCTTTCGATGGTTCCCCGTATGTGCAGGGGCGGGGGGCGGGGGAGACTGTCTTATCAAGTGTTCGACTCTTGAATATCCTTTAAATACAACACTAGAAAAAACCAACTTGGGTAGGTTTTACGTTTGCTCTAAATCTATTCAGTAAAGAGGGAAGCAATCAGATTTTTAGTAGTTAGTTTGCCATTGCATATGTTGTTTATCCCTGAGCACTTTTACCAGACTCCCTGTAAAAGAGGAAAAATAGATGGAAGTGAGAATGGAAGGCAGCAGTTTAAGAAAGAAAAATAAATAAATAAATAAAAGGCTGTGGAAATTGAGAGACAGTTAAATGTGTGAAACTAACAGTACAAACATGATCTGACCCTCTTTCGGATTTATCCAGTGTGGTGGTGTCTTTCTTGCGGGGTTACAGTCAGTGGTCATTATGGACTGAATTGTGTCCCCCCAAAAGTTTAATGTGTGGAGGCTTGGTCCCTCCCCGAGTGTTAAGAGGGTGGGAAATCTATTATGGTAATTGAAAGGTGGGGCCTTGAAGAGGTGATTGGATAGTAGGACCATGACGTACTGAATGGATAATAATGGTGGTGAGGGGTGTGGTTCTGAGGGCTTTAAAATGAGAGCACGTGAGAGTCTTTCTCCTTCTGCTCCACCATTTTCTGCCATATGAGACCCCTGCATTGCTGTAAAGCCACCACCAAAGAAGACCCTCACCAGATGTGTTCCCTGGACTTTGGACTTTGCAGCCTCTGAAACTATAAGCAATGAATTTTCTTTTCCTTATAAATTAACCAGTTTCAGGTATTTTGCTATAAGCAACAGAAATGGACTAATGCAGAGATCTATATGGACATCCATGCCTTCTTTCTCAGAAGACATAAATTGAACTGCAGTGTAACTTATGTGGTGGGTTCAGTGATCTTCATGTTAAAAGAGCTCGGCTACAATGGCGTGTGCCTGGGCTCTGCAGCACGCACGGCTGGCTGGCCTGTCCTCCTCAGCACCAGTGACCAGGGGCTTCCTACCACTGGCTGACCAATTGAAAGATGGTGTTTTGTAATCCTCTGTGAATTACCTCTGGCGCTAAGAAATGCATGAAATGTATTAGACTATCTAAACTTATTTCAAGATATTTGAAGTTAATCACTTGCAAAGAGAAAGACAGTAACATCTTCATCTTAAAATTCATTGAAATAACTCGAATGATTACTATTCTGTACTGAATTTGTAGGTTTTCCTCTGTCTCATAGATTATGTGTTATCGTCCTGAAAATTTAGGTTTGGGCAAAGAAGATTGCTCATTACCCTTCTCTAAAGAATCTGAGAATAGCATCTGAATTACAAAACCACTGAAGCAATGGCAGTTGTTCTTTTTTTTTTGTAAGATGATTCTGACAAGGGAAGGTTTGTCATTTCATATTAAACAAAAGCAAATCTCTTAAAACTACACAATTAAAAATAATAAATGCTGTAGTTCCCTCAACTACAGTTGAGATGGCTGAGGGCTTTATGAAGGCGGTCGCTTTGATGCTGACAGAACTTTGAATTTGTATAACGTGGAAAGATTACCTGTCCCAGGGATTGCCAGTCCAAACCGGCACTGCCAATATAAACGTGCTGTTTGTCCACAATCCAGAAGGAGGACTGGAGCCGGCCCTTGTTGTAGGCGGTCATGTTCATGTAGGTCACCTCGGCTCCTAGGAGTTCAAGGAGATCCTGGTCAGCCTCTGCTCCAAGGCCCTGCACTGGCCATCAGTCACCTACCAGCAGCAATACACATGGTTTGCCACTTTGCACAATCGACATTTAGGGAAGCCATTTATTTACATTAGTCTGGTGTAGAGAGGACCCCCAAAGTGCCACTTCATTCCCCAAAAGGAAAATAAAGAAAAAAAAAAGGAAAAAAGATTTTCCCTATGTATATGCAGAGGAGGCTCTGCAGTGACAAGCCCGTGGCTTCCCAAGTCAGACAGATCTGTATTAAAATCCTGGCTCCGTCTCTTACCATCTGGATGGTGATACTGGTGCACCATGCTCTTTCTCCTTTTTCTTTTGGAATAATTATAATACCATCTTGTAATCAGTAAAAGGACCAGTTTTGTTCAGTATTACAGCTCTCAACAAGAAATGGGCCTTCTTATGCTTTCTATACATGATTGTACCTTTTACCTTTTTTTTTTTTTTTTTTTTTTTTTTTTGTCTTTTTTCGTGTCCGGCAACGGATCGCAACCCTCAGTGTCACGCCCGTACCGGACCGGGACCGGCAACGGGATCGTAACCCTCGGTGTTGCTCCCGCACCTCGCTCAGCCAGTGAGCTGGAACCGGTCTGTATGTGGGATCCGAACCCTCGGTGGGAGCACCGCCGCACTCCCAAGCGGCGCACTGTAGCAGTGCGCCACCGGGCCGGCCCGTACCTTTTACCTTTTGACTTGACTTAACCTCTTCATTTTCCTCCTTAATTATTTAATGTGCATTTGGTCTCTTCATTCTTCAAATGGCCTTTCTTTGTCTGACAGTTTTTAATTTAAGCAGTGATTATTCAAGCCTTCCTGAAATGCAACCTTGAATGGTTAACTAGGTCGCTCAGACTACTGTTGAAACCAAAAACACATTGGAAGAGCTGAATTTGACCAATTGTTTTAAGACTAACGTCAAGCCTTTTTCTACTACTCAAATGCATTTACAGCCTCTCAAAAGGAGCATATAGTCTGTTCAATGCAAGTGCATTTAAATACATGTCTGCTAAAGGTTCATTCTCTCTAAAAGAACAGACATATATGCATTTATTTCATGAACTAAGCTATTCTGTCTTCATATATTCAATATTAATGAAGAGAATGCATTCCAGTGGCATGCTTCATTGTTGGAATCTTCATTATGAGAGGAATACACAATATTGTGTGCATAAGGACACATTCCAATTATTGGAAAGGAGATAGAGGGATTTACACTATGAATTTAACCTCTAACTTTTGGGAAAATGTAAACTGTGGCTTTGGGCTCCTTGTGGCAGGACGATAAAGAGAGAGGCTATGGGGGGTGGGGGAGGATCTGAGGGGATGGGAGCACCCAGGCTCCCTCCCTGGTTTATTCTAGAAGTGAGGTACGTGTGCTCCTCAGCCTCCAGCCACCCTAGCATAGAAACATCCAAGGAACAGTTACACATCCCAGAGGAGGAACCATTGGGTACAGCAGAACCTGAATATCCAAAGTGGGTAATGACCGTGGAACCTGTATGGGGCTGCAGAGGATCCCAGGCTGGCAGCGCTCCCAAGTGGAAGAAGAACAGCATTTGTCCCTAGAGACTGTCTTGGTTTCCTGCGGCTGCCATAGCAAAGTATCACAAACAAGGTGACTTAAAACAGCAGAAACTTATTTTCTCCCAGTTCTGGAAGCCAGAAGTCCAAAACCAAGGTGTCCTCAGGGCCACACTTCCTTTCAAATCTGTAGGGCAGAATCTTTCCTTGCTTCTTTCTAGCTTCCAGTAGTGGCCATCGATCTTTGGTGTCTCTTGGCTTGCAGGTGTAGACCCCCCATCCCTGTCTCTCTTGTCACATGGCATCTCCCCATGTCTGTGTTTTCTCTTCTTATCAGGACACTAGTTATGTTGGATTAAGGGCCCACCTCACTATGGTATGACCTCATCTGAATTAATTACATCTGAACAGCCCTATTTCCAAATAAGATCCCATTCTGCACTTATGAAGGTTAGGTCTTGCTATGGGTCAAATGAGTCCCCTCAAATTTCATCTATTGGAAACTTGATCTCTATTGCAACAGTGTTAAGAGTGTGGGAATCCAATTATAGTATTTGAAAGTTGGGGCCTTTCAGAGGTGATTCAGTCATGAGGACTGTGCCCTTGTGAGAGGATTGACCCATTTATGAGTCATGGTGTGGTTCTGATGGCTTCATAAGGAGAGCAAGTGAGCAGGCTAACTCTCTTGCTCAGCCCGTTCTTGACATGTGACACCCTGAGCTGCTGTAGAGTCACCCCACTAGGAAGGAAGCCTTCGCCAGATGTACGCCCTGTACCTCCCAACCTCCAAAACTGTAAGAAATAAATTTAATTTCTTTAGAAATTTCCTAGCTTCAGGTATTCTGCTACAAGCAACAGAAATGGACTAATGCAGATCTTCAAATGCAAGTCTTTAACATATTGGGTTGGGGGACACAATTCATCCCATACAGAGACTCGGGTCACTTTAACTGGCCGTGTTTTTCAATAGCAATAAACTGGCCAGCACTGAAAGAAGCATCTTCTCTGTCTCGGGAAGAAAGAGGATGAAAGTGACCTTGGTATTTCCCTCAAATTCTACCTTCAGCATGTACCTCCAGTCAAGCCTTTACCTGCTCTCTTATTCTGCCTAGAAGTGACATGAACCCTCTGTGACACTGGCTGGCCCTCACCTCCTGGCCTGGAACCCTGTGACCCGTGATCAGTCACTATCTTGCATCAGACTGTTTATCAGTTCTTAGAGGCCCCTGTGGTTCTCACTCAGGTCCCCTGCAGTCCCAGCCCACTGGCCTCTGAGGCAGCACTGATCCTATCTGAAGGACCCTCTGGGGACCCTCCCTCTTGACCTCTCCATTTCACACAGCATATACATTTTCCTAAAAGGACCATGTTACTTTACTTTGCAATTTAGCCTAAAGAGTTTGATTTCAGAGACCACAGGTCCTGTATAATCCTCCACCCAGAGCCTCAGCAGCTACTTATTGATGCCTAAAATTAATATTCTAGGAACAGTGGCTTTCCTTTGGCAAACCTTTATTGAATATCTAACACATACCAGATGCTATGTCGTGTGAAATTAGGGAGAAAAGGCCTAAAGTGACTAATTAAAATTCAGGCATGCTGAAGCATTGTCTTAGTCCATTTGGACTGCAATAACAAAATAACACTAACTGGGTGGCTTATAAACAACAGAAATTTATTTCTCATATTTCTGGAGGTTGGGAAGTCCAAGATCAAGGCACTGTCAGATTTGTTGTCTGGTGAGAGCTCCATTTCTGGTTCTCAGATGGTGCCTTCTTACTATGTTCTCACATGTTGCAAGGGATGAGGGATCTCTCCCAGGACTCTTTTTATAAGGGCACTAATCCCATTCACCTGACCTACTCACCTGCCAAAGGCCCCACCTCCAAACACCGTCACACTGGGGGTTAGGATTTCAACACATGTGGAGGGTTCAAACATTCAGGCATAGCAAAGCAATCTTTGGAATAATCAGGATCTGCTCCATTCCTGCTGCTCAGATGGGAGGGGGGAGCTGAGGATCTGAGAGATTAGAAAGGGGAGTCCTCATTGCTGTATCAGGGAATCCCAAGCAAAAGGTGAGAGCATGAAAGACAGTGAACAACTTCACAGTAGCATCCAGGGCCAGAGGTCCCTGCAGTGATACCAGCAGAACTGTGTGTAGAGATCAGACACTCTGTAATAACAGTAATTACTGAACACCTCTGTGGGTCCAGCACCAAGAACTACATTACAACAATCTCACATGGTATGCCTCATTTCCCAATAAACTTCTGTATGTGGCATAAGAAAATCCACTGAAAATATTTGGAAAAATAGTTTTCTATGTAGTTTGTGGAATTTTACTTCCCATTAAGAATGATCTATTTATCTGCTTTTCTATCTAACCATCTACCCTTTATCTATCTCTGAAAATGTGTGCTTTTATCTTAATTTATAGCTGGATAGATACACATTTAATCATATCCAACATGTCCTTCAGTTTATTATGAGCCTATTATTCAATATTTTGATTAAAAGAATTTATATTTACATGCACTTTAAAAATATATGTGTTGATTGGTAATAGAAATTATCTTCATCCTGCTGGGGTTTTTATACATACTAGGAAGGGATGGTTAAACGCAATGTTGTCTGACTATAAAGCATTTAATTACAAAAAGTCTTTATTGCAGTAGTACTATTATGTGCACAAACTAAACTCCAGTTTATTTCATAGTGTTGTGCTAGAATTTTAATTGGCAAACATATACATTTACATAAAGTTGTTCCTTCAAATATTAGAGACATCAGATTGTAAAATATCTTTCAAAGATGGGTTGATTCAAATAAATACATTTTATCAACTGCTTTGAAAGTGTTTTTAGTTAAGTGTGATTAAACAATTTTCATTTTCATAAAGTTCATTTTTAGCAGGAAACCATATTGTGTACAGCCCCGTGAACCACTGTGCAGAGACCCCGGGTGTCAGCTGAGATCTGAGGACGTCTCAGCAAATGGCACATAGCCGTGCACAGCTGTGGGCGGTGAGTTCACATCTCTGCAGATCCTCCTGTTTTCAGCCTGACACTCTCCTTGTTTAACTGATGATTAGTAGGAGTTATTAGCAACTCAAAATAATGCTTTCTGATGCCAAAATTGATAAATCAAGAGTATGTACTTGTTTCTATAATTGCTTTACAAAATATTTTCATGATATCTAGGAAGTCCTAATTAAACCTTAAAAAAACAAGCAAACAAACCAAAGTTCAGAATTGGAGACGTTAAGCTACAAATGTGCTGACTTGATGGTGTGAAGAGCTGGGTCATAGTTGGTCACACTAACTGAGGAAAAGTGGTGTGGATAATTGCAGGTTTCACATTCTTCTTGTAAATATTAAAAATTGAGAAATTCCAAATTACTCATTATAACTTCTTTGCAATTTTTTTTTCCTTTTTG